GAGCTACCCTCAGGCACGGACCATTTCCTTCAGCTCAAGCAACCCACTAAGAATTGATGAGACATAGTCGCATAGTCGGGGAGTTAGAGGAAGGACATGACATACCAAACATACGTTCCCGCCAATATCACCGTGTGTTCAGCCTGTCAAAGATAGTTTGGTTGTATTGCACGGATTCGAACCTGGTGCATTACGCATACCCAATTAGGTCGGTAGGAAGATGATAAGTTCCCACATCGAGGTCATCAGGAAGAGTGGGATGACCAATGGAAACAAAGGCAGGAGATTTATCCCTGCTCGAAAGGGACTAGAGATAAGCACTAAACGTGTTTGAGCTGGCAGGATGCCCCAGAGAAAACCAGTCGGCTGAGAAACCAAGCTCCTCGTCTCCATGGATGTCGTTTGTGGTATCCGTACCCATTCATGCGCATCCTACCCATGGAGTATAAGATGTCTGAGAAGAGGTCTAAATGGGATGGAGAATCGAATGACAACCGCGCCAGGTGGGAAGGACCGACGCTGTCAATATCATGAGCATGTCAAACGAACTCGGAAATTAACCAAATCTCGTACCAAGCGGGCCAGTGCTCTCTCTGCACCGTGTTCTGGACCACGCGTCTATAATGTGGTAGCTGCACTTCCTCGGAGAGCGTGTCGTTGAGGACGTCGATAGCGAGCCGGGTCGAGAGGGATGCAATTCTCGTCCTTTCCTGTCCCGATCCCTTCCCATCTCCTTGCCGTCATTCGCTATCTTCTCCCCAGAGTTCATGGTGGAGGGCAAAAGACGTGAAGAGACTTGACCTGCCTCTGGGAAGAAATGAATGAGTAGGACGGGAAGGATGCCAATTCCTTGATCCACGGACGAAGAAGGACGCCATATTCGAGGAGAGCTGCGGGGTTGAGCTGTTTCAAGTCGGCGAATCGTTTAGCAACAGAGAGGGCGACCAAATCTAAAGAAACAAAGTGTTGATGAGTGGACCGTACGCGAACAACTGGCTGTGACTAGTGACCCGTGACCCACCATCTGTCATGTCGTGTTCGTTGAGACCTTTACGCTCACATCATCCTTGTCTACCTAGTGCTGACTTGCTCCCGCAATTCCCTAATTTTTATCACGTAGGTGTGAACAACAGTACTTCTTTTGCTTCAAAGGATGACTGAACAGGTATGGCAGTCGGTGCGCATCGGCATCAAGGTGAATGGAGGTGAATGATCAAAAAGTTCGAGTTCGCCGGCATTCGGCCCGGTCACCGAAGGCACCGACTCCTGTCTCTCTCCATCATCTCTGCAGCTTTCAGTATTAACATTCAGTCTTAAGTCGTTTATCTTCCTTGTAGGCTTATTTAAAGCTCTTGCTACTAGTTGACTGAGGCTGAATCGATATCTTGTAGATGGGTCCGTTATGGTGGACTTCTCGACGATACAGAATCGTCTACAACATCTAAACAATAGTGTCGGTCGTCAAGTACATCTGGACTTGATCATCAACCACGGAACTTCCGACAAACATTTTACAACATTGCGTGTTAGCCGCAGCCCTGAGGTCTTCGCTATTGTGGAAACTAGAGGCACGTCCTATATCACGGTCGAGTGAAAGAAATGGGGCATCCGCCCCTCTGATATTCTCACCGAAGACCAAAGAAGATCGCACGGGACGGATATGGATGTCTCGTTCACAGAAGACCATGCGGCGCGCCCTCTTCCTGAATCCTCTCTGCTGTGGATCCAGTCATTTGTTGGGAACGGGGGAAGGGTGATTTCCTATGGTTTAGGCACCTAGCTCCCACCCGAGAAAGTGTTTGAATCTAGGCATCAGTTGCTTGCTCCGAGTCCTAAGACATGATATCCATCAAGGAGGAACTTGGAGTACTAGCAATTGGACTGAGGTGTACGCAACGTTCGAGATCAAGCCAGCGACATATAGCAAGTAGTATTTTTATTGTTCATTCTTGACCTACTGTCGATCACTCTCGTGTCACTGGCTGGTGATATTACAACACGACAATGTATTGCAGCCTCGAGCGAGAATCTGCCCTTAACCACTTTCGGTGCTCATACAGCTCAATACATATCCAAAGATGTAGAACAGCATGCTCATCGTGGTCTATTGTATGTGCCCTAACCAGATATGGAGAGCCATTGTTATCCTCATCTTCTGATACCTCAGGATAAGGAACTGTATGAGCTGCGATGGTATGTGCACGTGCATACTCGTTTGGTCAAAGCTTTAATCGATTCCCCCCGGTACTGTCTGTATGCCTCCCGGCAAAGTTCAGGATGGGTTGGACGAAAAGAATCCAGTGGACGAGAAGTTCGCATGATGTTGAGATGGCACCGATGGGCCCGCATACGACGACGGCACCAGTTTCTGACGCGCCGACGATGTGATCTCATAAAACGATGTCAGCGTATGAGACAGCATGATACGAGGAGGCCCACTCAAATGTCTTGGGATCGTCGCCCTCTGGGTTCTCGGGTACCACCACCGTGTTATGATGGAGTGGAAAGTTGCTGGAAACTGAGGCTAAAGCCGTATTGAAAGACCGACAGGTGGCAGGTGGCATCCTTGACTTTGTATTGGCCCGGAAGCGTTCTCACAGTATCGGTCTTCTTCCCATAATCAATTTCTCTCTGCACACACATTAGAGCCGAGCGCAAACGAACAGAAAGTATTTGCACCTTTCGTCGCAGTCGAAGGGGGACGTAGAGGCTCGAAGCGCGTAGAGTAATTCCCGGCATATCGTTGGAGTGAACGGGAACCGGTTAAGTTTGTGTCGAGGAAGGAGGTAGCACAGTCATGCAAAAATGCTGTGGACACTGGTATCGTATTTCGCCTCCAGGACTCGAGCCGGGTGGTGTGTGCCAACACGCTAGGCTACCGAGGCGCAAGTTATACATGTCAACCTGAGAACAAGAGAGCGGCTAAAACAAAGGTACAATGCCCTCAAAGTATCTACGACCACATAATCGAATGTGTACATTGAATTTGGTCTCGTTGGACTCTAAGGTGGATGGAGTGGAGCGGAAGACTCACGGACAGCAATAACATTTGACAACGCCATAATCCCGCGACAGATCGGAGGGTCTACGGAAAGAATAAGCATAACTACCGGTGGATAGGCGAGTTGGAGCCTACATGTTGGCGTCTATCCGAATTCAAAGTGGGCATCCTCTTTTTCCAACCAATTCATTCAAGCGGTTTCTGAAACCCACGGTCCCGATTTAATCTTCATCGAACCTGGATACCATCCATAATCCTGCAACACTGAGCAGAAGATGCAGTATCAATAAATCCCACGCTCGAGTAGGAAAAGCACAACCAACAAATATGCCAACGGCTAATTTCACCTCCAGGAGTCGAACCTGGTGCATCACACAAGATCAACTAAGCTGCATGTCCCATGCCGAGAGTAATAGGGACAACGTCAACGAAGCATTGTCGCAGGCATAGGCTCAAGCCTACACTTAGAGGCGTCGTCTTTGATACACACAAGGTGCGCCTTGTTCCTGCAGCCCGTTCCCAGTGATTCTCCTCGTCTGTAATCTTCTCCCCAGAGTCAAAGCTGGACGAGGCGAGAGGCAAAGACAACATAGCACATGCCCAACAGGCGACAAGACAGACGAGGATCTCACAGAAAATGGGGCAATAAAAAAGCCTATGACCAAGAATCCAACGCCGAGCGGTTCTCTTGAACGTCACGTTCAACCACTATCCAATAGCGCGGCAGTCAAAAATCAAAATTCCTGCAGCATTTCACCCCAGGAGTCGAACCCGGTGCATACGCACGTCCATTAGGCTACGATGGACTAGCAGAGAATAGAGATCATCGGGGAGGGTCCGAAGTCGGACGTCCAATCGAAGCGAAGGGAATAAACGTCCAAGCTCCCTGTCCTCCCCCTAGTTATGAATATTTCTGAATGGGCCGAGGTCTTGAAGCAATAAGTTTTTGATATCATGGCCAAGCAGCCAAGCAAAAAATCTACTGGATCAAGAGGACTCGAACCTGATTTATCTGTGCATCAACATACTAGGCCAAGTTAAGTCGGGGGATGAGTAAGGTGACAGCGAGGTAAGAACTCGAGGAGCGGGACCGTTAGATCGGAGAGGACTGCTCTCGATGACGAACCAAGGATCAAATTGACGTTGCTGCAACCGGGCAGGTACTGAGCGAGAAGAGGGTAGGAACTGGAATGGACAAATCAATGGTGCGTGAGAGGTAAAGTATATATGCGAGATTGCGCTTCGAGTGGATGCGGTGGCACACTATTTGTTCCAAGTTTCCTTCGTAGACAAGATACACGCGAAGCTAAGCAGAATATGGTGAAATGTTGACGACCAAGCAAAATCTAAAGCTGAACAGTAACAGTCATAGCAGGTCCGAAGGCCAATTGGCACCTATAGATGTTCATAAGCGTACCGAAGCCACTCCAAAAGCAGGATTCCCGTACCAAGATTTCCATGCCGCGTCTTCTGCTGAGCAATAGAGGTCACGCGGGACCTGCACCGAATCCAGGCCGTACGTATTATCTCCCCAGTTGGGCCTGCGCGCATCCTGGGCCCCGATACAGTACCGGTGAAGACACAACCATCCCCGCCTTCCCTCACAAGTCGAGCTCAGATGAAACTCTTGCTATATTGCCACGTCGATCGCGTGACTCGAAGGAGAAAAGAGCGAGTAGTCCGATGATTTATATGAACTACATAGGTAAAATGGTGACGGCTGAAAAAGATCATGGTGCACAACGGCTTTCAGTTGGGAACGGTGGTAAGTAGTGAATAAGAAAGATATATGGCACAGCCACTGACCACTGTGCTCATTGGTGGCTCTCCAGGCGATGACCACGACGAGATATAAATATTGAAGAACTCCCATAAAGAACCATTGTCTAATGTCCAGTGTCCACCTGAAAAACACAGACACTTGTAAGTTGTGACTTGTCAATCAGTAGCTGGCAGCTGGTAGCAATGAATATCAAAAAGAGATAAGCATTTCTGTACACGACACCAGCAGGATTTGAACCTGCGCACTCAGAGAGTAACAGATTATTATGAGACGAACCATCACATCATTCTAATCTGTCGCCTTAACCACTTGGCTATAGTGCCTCAACCGCACATGTCTGGAATATTAAATGACACTTGAGATATCTTCTCTGCTTGTAGTCTACTTCAAGCCACCACCATCATCATCGAAAAATCGGCCCTAAGCATTCGAACATACGACCAATGGGACTTCAACGCAAACAGGATAAGAGGATCAGGTGACCCAAACGATCTTACCGGACGAACGTATGACTCGAGGACGCTCCTAGACATCGGACAATTCCCGCCGTCCTCTCTGTTCACGAAAACTCCTGCTTTCACAGGTCCCGGTCAAATCTCACCGCTCCACTATCCATTCTTGCGACTGCACTTCCCAGCTTATGGAACGTGAAAAACTTGACCGTTCTGTTCAATCCATTCTACGATGCAAAACGCATTATGATACCAACTACTCGGACCTGTTCGAATAAAGGCCGTTAAAAACGAATGTCGTATCAAAAGACTGACCTCTTCCCAAGTAACCACCCGAATTACTCGTCTTCTCTTTCCCTGTCGACTCAAACCGGCCGTTGAGTCGGAGAGGATAAGGTCGACCACTGTCGTGTTACCTTCATAACGTCGACACCGACAAATGGATACGCCTCGTTGGATGAAGCGTTGTATGCAGAGAAGGTGTCGATGTAACGGGATGGACCTTCCAAACATCAGACCCGCTAGGCTAGTGTGGATGACGAGAGACGTAGTTCCCATCCCATCGTCTTCTTCTCAGGGCACGCAAACACTGGACAATTGTTCTGCGTCAGGTATCAATGGCGCGCGCCACGATCGCGTATCGCATCTCGATACGCTGCATTGCGCTGTACTCAAACTACACCCAGGTTGTCGAGATACTCAGCAAGCTTGAGGGTCGGTGAGTGTATTTCCTTCTTTTCGAGATAAATCTCTCATCAGTATTGTTAGGTGTATGCGCTTAGTAAATCATGTCCGTCGTTATGCATCCTAGTTCCTGTCACTCCGTTGACTTGCTTCATGCTGTTTCATTATTTGAATCCCAAGCTTACTCCTGTCAGATAACCATAACACTCTCAAGTTCATTGATGAAACTTAGACGAAGAATATATCGCCAAAGAAGAGTGTACTATCATGCGTTAGGTTGCGCACTGGGTGCATAATACTACTCTCAAAGAATTGTCAATGAAAACGTCATTTCTCAGTGCAATCTCCAGCATGCTCTTGGGAACCTCAATGTCAGCAAGAAAGATGCCGAAGGAATCTGCTCTTCTATCCCGTGGAGAGATGCTGAGCTGAAGACGAGGTATATACTCAATTCTCTACCAGTATCTTCTCTACATCTTACAAAGTTAAGTCTGTTATTCAGTTGATAAATCCAGTCTCTCGCCAGTGTGCCACCCATTTCGCCACAAGCTCCCTGTTGACCGCCGGCGCCTTCTTCAAAATGGGTGCGATCTTGGTCGTTTCCTCTGTCAAGAATACCATCGGCTTTCTATGGGACGGTCCATATCTCATACGGAAGAATGGCTGCCACACAACGCGTGAGTCGCCTATAACCGCACACCAAGAAAGCTACTCACCAACAACTTGATAGTGGGGTTCTTCTTTCCATCCTCATCCGACTTCGCTAGCCTCTCCACCCACTCGTTCTTATCCACGCGCTCGAAGCTCATACCGGAAGCTTCTAATCCCACCAGAACATCTTTCCAATGCGCCGATGTGTTGGGATTCACGATGTGATACACAGCCGTAGTAGACTTCGTCGCGTTCAACACAATCTCCACTATACTCTTCCCGGCGAAATCTACAGGTAGCCACGAGGGATTTTCGTCAACCACAGGAAGCGCACCTACAGTATTCGCGCTTTTGAACATCAACGGCCATGCCTCCGTTTCGTTCCAGATACCGCTTCAAAGGGAAAAGGTCAGTATACACTCGTTTCTTAAGGCTGAAACCACCCACTGCACAGAATCTCCGACCATCTGGCCTATCCGCAGAATGGACACCGGCACCCCGCTCTTCTGTGCAGCGCGTTCACACAGTTTCTCTACGACCCACTTGCTCTGTGCGTACCCCGTCCCCGCCGCAGTCGACGGTGAAGTGGAAAAGCCCTCTGAACACGTCTCATCCCTAGATCCCTGCCTACAGCTGATGGACGAGCTGAACGCAAACGATGCAGGCTCAGAGAAGGGCGACTCGAGACACAAGTTGATTAGGTTCACCGCGCCACCGATGTGCGAGTCATAAGACTCGATGTTGAGTACGAAGTTGACGGGCCAGGCGTTCTGTTTTTAGGTCACAGTGAATATCACGACACGGAAGGAGGGCGAGGGTGTGACGTACGTGGATCACATTCGTCACCTCATCTCGTAGAGGGCCGTACTCTTCTTCCGTTAACCCGAAGAGACTCTCGTTGGCGTTTGCTGCGTATGACGTAACCTTGGTTTCGTCGACAGAGACCTTTCGGGCCATGACCGACTCTCTGATCCGTTCCAGAGATTCGTCGTGAGACTTGGCACGGGACAAACAGACCACCTTTCGAACCGAAGAGGATGCTGTTAATTGAGAAAGAATATGAGCGCCGAGGGATCCCGTTGCACCAGTGAGGAGCTATACATGAGTAGAGTGAGTCTTTTGTTCTGAGGTGTGAGGAATCTAGGGTTACGATTACGAGAGCATCGGTAGGCTTCGGTAGAGCAATAGCTCTGGCTGCATGTGTGCCGACCTTGGCACTCCATTTATCAAGTAGTGCCAGCATCACGGCTTCGTGCCCACTTCCCACTACTTGAGTACCACCGCTCTGTAGGTGAAGGATATAATCTGCAAGTCTGGCAAATTGTCAATGTCAGGGCCCCACTCGAGGATGGAAAATGGACACACTTCTCCACCGACGGATGCTCATATACCACTAGCAAGCCTTCTGTGAGTCTTTCATTCTTCTAGAAGTAAAACGTTCTTTCTTACCTGTCTGTCCAAGGCTATGAGCCCCCAATTCGAGCTCCTTCCGCAAACTATTTCGTATCCTCGTCGCCTGTAACGAGTCAACTCCAAATGCAAATAGATCGACCTTTCTATCGAGCTTCGCCGACCGACTAGGACCCAAGGCTTTAGCGATCGTAGCGAAGATATACGCCTCCAGCTCTTCCCGCGATAGCGTCTTCTTTTCCACCTCGACGTCGGTCTGGTCGAACCGGGCGTAGATGCTTTCTGAACACCGGTTGTTCATGATGGATCCAGTATGAAAATAAGACTCGTACCTATAAGGTCCTTGAACTTTGCATAACACGCCGGTCGGAGTATGCTCATCTTGGTGGCCACCGGGATGTGCGTACCATACCTGTATGGTTCTTTCCATCAGTTCCCACCTCGTAAAACCGCATAAGGACACGTACGGCAAGAACTCTACCATCTCGGGTAGCAACCGCGAATGGGTTGGTGCCTCTGCGTTGGCTTGCTCGATGACGGGCCAGACTTGGGATATGAGGTCTTCTCGGGAGAGACCCTCTTCATGTGCGAGGTCAGAGGGGAGGATTAGGCATCCCGTTTGTGGTTTTCCGGCGCCGAAGATGATGGCTGGGAAGACATCAGTGGGAAAAAAAAACTATGATGGGCATTAGCTTTACCTTCGGCGACGTATGGACTGTTTCCTCGGATACAGAGTTCCATGGGGACTGTGTCGTTCATCAGCAAGGATAGAGTGGCTAGCAAGATCCTTACCGGGATTGGTCTTCTCCCCGAGGATATGGACGAGCGTATCATCAAGCCGTCCGATGTATTTGTACAAGTCCTTGCGCTCGGGGTGTCGGAGGAAGAGGTCCTTGGTCGCGTAGGATCCGTCCGGGCGGTTCGTCTCGATCTAAGAAAGGCTGAAAGGGCTTATCCCAATGTCGGGGAAGGAATTGGCAAACCTTGGGAGGATACCCATCCTTGACGATAACCTCAAAGGTGTCGCCACCTTGCGGTTCCCAAACGAGGTAGTTGGCTGAACCGGGGAGAGGGCGAGTCCAGTTCCAGAGTTTGTCTGTCGCGAAGTCGCGGTTGGAGTTCATCAGAGATCCGGTCTGCAATAGGTGAGTCCGGTTTGTCGTTGAGTGGAATGATTCTTACCTCTGTTGTTCCGTAGATACTAAGCAAGTTCACTCCGGCTTGAACGAGTCTGTCACCGAGATCATCCTGGTTGCATAAAAGGATGAAAAATGGAAGCGGAGGTGGACAAGTGAGGAGCCTACGGGGAGAGGAGCGCCTGCATATCCGACGATATCAAAACTGGCTAGGGCATTGACCCCTGCAGGCGTTTCCGCGAGGAGCTACAATAATTGTCCTGAGCACCAGCTCTATAGGAAGCGTGAAGGGAAATAAGACCTTAATTACATACGGTACAGCATAACATTGTTGCACAGGAGGAGAGACGGCGAGTACGGCACAGATGTTACTAGATGTTAGAGGTAGATGAGGCGGGAAGAGCGTCAGCGGTTGACCAGGATAGATACATCGGAATCTATTCGGGTGAGTCAGTTATTGTCGATGAAGCACAAAGCAGAGAAACTGACACAGCAAAGTGACCGTATCCGTGGAACACGGGCAGAGTACTGAAACCTGGCTTGTTCTGGTTCAACGCGACATTCGCAATGAGGCCATAGTGGGTTATGCGGACTGGTTTAGGGAATCCGGTCTACGAATGAAAGTTCAGAGGGTGGAAACATAGTAGGAAGGGAAGGGCTTACTGAGCCAGAAGAGTGAAGAATGACGGCAGGCCGTTTGCTCTCCTGTTCTGGTGTCAGAACCGTTGGGAAGGGTTTGATCTTGGTGTTTCCGACGCCCTCGGGACCCCACAAAGGGAAACGCTTATCTTCGACGAGCTCCACCGTGTATCCTTGGTTGCGAAGGAGCTTCTGCGCGTCGTGTGCTTCTTGAACAAATTTCGCGCCGTAGATAAGGTGGGTAGCGTCGGTGAGCTTGGTGAGATGCGCGACTGCTGGAACGGAGTTGTTCACCGAGAGAAGGAGGGCGGTCAGGCCGAGCTTCGCGAGGGCCATCTCTAGGAGAGATTC